CACAGCGCAATTTACATGTCTAGGCCACACGAATAAATATTTCCATGGCTTTAATTAACCAAAAATGTAGCAATTAATTGACTTTGGCGCTCAATTTAATTAATTTTATATGTTTTTGCACAAGGGCGTAAGGTAAAACCGTTTAGCAGCAGCGGCGCCTAAATTAGGTATTTCGTTCTTAACTGATGTCAGCGTATTAATCAAATTGTGTGAAAATAACCAACATCAACCTTGCTTCGAAGTGTTTATTAATTGCTGTTATTTGCGGATAATCAGTTTACTGGTTCAAATGTCAGGCCAAATGAGCCAGCGCACATATGTATGTATGTCGCTTGGAAACACTATTTGTGAAGAAGAAGCATTGATGGCGATTATTTTAAAGGAGCATAACTCAATATAACTATCATGCTGCATACAATTCGCCATATGTATTTGAAGTACAAGCTCAGTAGCACCTCAGATCCCACCGCGTTTGCTGAAAGGTCACAGGGTATGCAAGCTGCGCTTTGTGTAATGCTTGAAGAAGTGTCAGCCAAAGTGAGATCCTTGTTTTGCACATTTTTAATTGTACTGGCGACAGGTGCAAGAGCAAAGGCCCTGCTGCTCACTTGACCCACAAAAGCGGGCGGGCGAGGACGAGGTTTGGGGCCGAGACTGCGACTGCGACACACAAAAAATAGCGAGCGTTTTCTTGCAGCGGCTGCAAAAACAAACAAGCTGCCAACGCGGCATTGCAAAAAGGAAACAAACCAAGGACATTACGAGTTAATGTAAACAGCTTAATTAAAAAATAAAACTCCGTTGCGCGTCACGTGCTTAAAACCGCATGCATTTTGCTGCATAACCTCAAAGTGCAGCCAGGTGTGTGTGCCTGGCTGCATGCGCGTGTGTGTGTTTGTGTGCCACGCCAGGACGCCCACGTGACCGTCGCTCTTTATTTGCTTAAATGTACGAAAGTGTTTTAATTTAATTTTTCGTCCTTTTGCACCCCTCGGCCGCTTCACACTCTTTCACTTTGCCACAGCTCCTAATTAAAAATGAAAGTAATTTTTCATCAAGCAAACGCTCCTGCAAGTATAAATTATTCTTAACCAGACGAGTGCTCATTAAAAATAATTCTTAAACGATTTTTTTGCATTTTAAAATATGAAATGCATAGTGATGCGTGTGTGCGTGCGGGTGTGTATATTTTTTTATTATTATTTTTTTTTTGTTTGGCTAAAGTGCAGTAAAAAAAATTGTAAATTATTTGTTTCAACAATTACTCTTCAAAGTCCCGCTAAGTCCTCGGTCCCGTCATCAGCTGCTCTTAAGTGTTTATTTTTTTTTCTTCTTTGTTCGCTCAAGTCAAACTTTTCTTTTAAATATTTACCATACTTACCCCATGTGCTGCAAAAGTTTTATGCACACGCATAATGTTGTTCGAGGAGGTAGAAGGGAGTGTAAGTTCCTTGAAGTATGATTCATACATATGCAAGTGACTCACACTGTGTAGGTGGGGGCAACAACAGTGCGGCAAGCGGCAAGTAATTATAAAGTTTGATTGCTGCAACTTTGCTTTTAGACTGGAAAATATGATCATAAGAATACGTTAATTGTCAAACAATTGAATAGTTTTCAAAATAATTCTATATTTTCTCGATATCAAAACTAATCTACAAAGAAAATGCTTTCATATGGACAACGAGAGACTTGCCAAGCCACGAAATAAGTTATATGCAGATTTATGCAGTAACACCTTCCGCCAAGTCAACTTCCTCATGGCAAATTTACCGTGCATTGCATTTTTTTCTAAATTTGAATAGCAATTTTTTTTAGTTTCTAACATTCAAAATTGCTTGTATTCATTCAAATTAAGTTGATTTGCATGCATTTCGTGCATTTTTGCCTTGTTTGCCTTTTAAGTCTTAGGAAATTAATTTTGCCATTTTCAACAAAAGCAAATTCTATTGTTGGCAATAAAGTGCATGACGGCCTTGTTAATCCTACCTGCTACACACATATACATCCATGTTTGTGCATATACAATATTGTTTTGCTAGCTCTTTAATAAAGCAAATTCCTTTTGGGTTTAGTTGTGCTTAATTCTTGAATGTTTTTCAGCTTCGGTTTCTACTTCTTTGCAGTTGGGATTTTCTTGCCGAACAAATAGCAATTGTAAAAACATAATTTTGGGATTTGAGTTTTATGATATGAGCCCGAGAAATGCAATTTAATTTATTAATCGTGCTTAGAAAAGGAGAGTTCGGGCTCAATTTCAAGTTAAGCTCAAAATTCAGACGTCAAAAATTTTGGGCAAAATCAGAAAGCTCTTTGGCTAGCACACCTTGATGATGAGTAGCCCCAGCTTGTGCGACACACAAACACAGAGACAAACACGTACACATTCCTGTGCCTGACAGCCTGGACACCCAGCACTTTGCGTTTCAATAGCGCTATGAAAGGCAACGAATGTCTATTTAATAGTGTCTGCCATTGTCGATTCGACAGCATCAATTGCAAACTGGGCATAACTGGGCCCAGTCCCAAGCTACAGGTCGTACCCTCCACCACCACAGTGGGAGCCAGAGCTGACAGCGCTGTCTGCGGTGTGGCGACCACACCTGCAATTTAAGCTGCATGAGGACCGCAACGAGTGCGGGCGTTGGCAGCATTGCAGCTTGCAAAATGAAGTCATAAAGTCGGATCCCGCCCACTCATGCTCATTACCACGTACCAAGGAGTCGCATGGCAACGATAATGATGATGATGAGCATGATGCTGCTAACTATTGGACAGCAGGTCGGTCGCCTTCGCTTGGAGTTGCCAGCGCTCATTTATTTTCCCGCAGCTGCTAAACTTTTTGACCATAGCTGACACTTTCATGAAACAATTTAAAAAGTCATTGTCATCAGGCAGGCGCATGCCGCACTAAGTAGCAAACTGTGTGTCCTGTCAATGGCGTCGTTTGTTTTGTTGCCCATTACAGCGGTCAGTGTCCGAGTCCGAGTCCGAGTCGGGAGACTGGTTGCAAAATGAAATTGTCATTGCTGGAAATGACCAACTGTCGCTGTTAACGCAGCCGCTCGCAACTGCAGCAACCCGCATATCAAATTGTTTGTTTGGACTACGTATTGAAAGGCAAGTAAGCCGCGGCTACTGTATCATCAACCTACCATGGGATACTTCAACTTTACAAACGCGTTGACGATATTTAAAAAAAAAGAAGGTATTCCCCTCTGAAATAATAAACAAAACTAAATATTTATAACGACATTAAGTTAGTTGGCCCAAAGTCAAAAACAATATGGCATAAATATCAAAAAATTATCAGGTTGCAGCTATATCAAGATACTTACTGTTCAATCATCAACAGATTTAATTATCGACTCAACTATTGCAAACACCTTATACCCATTTCAAGGCCTTATCTTGCTAAAAATTGCAATTTATCTTGAGCTGTACATTTGCTTATGTGGTGTAACAATATATAACTTGAATATTAATCAAAAAATGTTATATATTTTTTATATATATTGTTTATATCTGTCTTTATATTTATTTATCAATTATATATTGAAAACTGTTTTTTTCATAAATAAGTTGGTTGGATTCTTTAAAGCGTCTCATCGTCTCTTACGCGCGTTTCGAAAGTTTCCGGACAGAAGTTAACCTTAAGCACTAAAGTTGTTCAGATATTCAACGTGTTTAAGCTTTGGCCCAACTCAAATTTGCCATAGGATATAGAAAGTTCGTCAAACCGATAGATATCTTTTCAGTTATGTCAAGTTTTGTTTTTCACCACGAAACTTTCAAGCTGATGCGAGTCCTTTATTGTTGTTGCTGTGCTGTTGTGGGCGTCCTGGGTAGCGTGTGACATTGCAATTTCGAAAACAATTTCAAGTTTTTCGACACGCCCAACTTGTTGTCGCCGCGTCGTCCTTCTTTTGTGGCCAAGTGCTTTTCAGTTTAAAAACTTGACAGCGAATGATGTATGATATGAGAGCGTGTAGATTGCAGTTTAGCTAAGATGTCTTGGAGAGTTGCTTTTGTGCGAAAGGAAAACCATAAAAAAACCTATTTAAAACATTTTTGACTACGCACAATAGATTCTTAAGAGCTATTTTGATGCAACGCTAACCTGCGTTTGACTTTACCCTCAGGATAATTTAGATGGTTATCATCCAATAAGCACGGACACCCAGCTTATAGCCTTTCAATGTTTTTTCAGTGTTCATTAAAGTTGCTACGCTGCTTAAATTCATTATTACTTGGGTGTAGGAGACATCTACTGCTTTCCAACTGCCTGCTGGGGTAAATTACTCTGTGCAAAGCCACAAAATTTATTAACCGTAAAATTAAAAGCATAAAATTGCATGCTTTAAATTCAAATGCAGCGAAGCAGTGGCAGCAGCATCAGCAAAAGCGACATCAACCGCAGCCACAAAGTGTCGAAAGGAAGCATATCGCACAAAGTTCAAACAAAGCAGCTCGTGGTATCGAGAAGTGGTCGAACTTGCACACTCTTCCATCGCCTCCCGCAATCCCCACGCATACTAAATTCAACTTATCGACAGGCTGGCAGTGCAACGTGTTCCGATAAGCGCCACAGCATCAACTTGACTGGGCTGTGGCACCATCCAATTTTTATTTTACTATTTCCTTGCAGCAGCTGAAATAACTTGCACCGGTGATATGTAAGATACGGCAAGATATATTGCCGCCTGATAGTCAAGAAAACGAATTGCCTTTAGGCCGAGATGAGTTTTTGTAGTGAAATCTCAGCTTTTTATATAATTGTCAAAAATTTATTACTCATAAAATGAAATCTGCAGTTCTGAGTGGCTGATTTGCTTAGGTGAACCATTAAGGCAACTGAGTAACGAGATTCAGGGTTCGAGGCTGGTGGTTTCATTGACCAGTGCGTTATGTAAAGTAGTTTTGATAGTTTATAACTATAACTATATACTTTACTTACAAAAGCTCAGAATTTATATTTATTATTTATATTTGAGGTAAATTCAGTGTCAAATCGAAAAGAAAATAAAACACCATAATTTTGTTGGGTTTGCGGTCAAGCTTTAAAATTATAAAAATATTTTCGTGGACAAAACAACAAAAATTTAGTCCGTAGATATTTTAAAATCATCGTATTTTCACAAGATAGTACTTAGCGTCAATAGAAGCCCACTTGCAATTGTCCACTCTTGTAGTCCATGGCCATCACTCAAGTTCATGGAATCTCCCTCTATCGCCCCTTACTCCTGGTGCATTTAACATTAGAAATTCATGAACTACGTCGTCTGCTCATCAACAGGACAATATAGTTGGCCAGAGGTGGATGCCTGGGCTAAGTGAAGCAACACATCTTGCACTTTAGTTTCATTCCTTTAGTTCTCCCTCTTACACGACTTTGCTGTTTACTCGACTGGCGCCACCTGGCGTTTTTAGCATGGCACAATGCTCATTATCGTGCAGATTATAAACGTCTTCCAGGCAATAAGAATTTACACACCGGAGGGGCTCTAAGGTGAACTAGTATGTTTCTTTTTTGTTGGCACACGTCATGTTTAAATTTATGTAAGAGTTGTGTTTTGAGGCAGCGGATTTAAAGACCTCACTGACGCTACTGCCAACATGGAAGTCAGGATGAAAATTGAGCAGATCCAAATTTACTACTTTATATGTGGATATCAGCCAGTGGCCGGCTCGCACAGAAGTTGGTATCGAATAATCTCTTCGGAAGCGTACAAATACCTCGGCAAATACAATGGGATGTCGGACAAATAATTTACTAGCGTCTGCATACTGCTCAACCAGCTTATTCATCTGTTCCACTTCCACTCTGGATGTAAAGTCATTGGTGCGTCGGCACGCCAAGAATATCATATCTATAAAGGCAAACTTATGATCATAGTGCTCCAATCGCTGTACCCTTAGGGGGATAGCGCGTCGAATATGACGTTTCTCAAAACGCATCAGCTCGTGTGGTAAGTTTCCGGACTGGTGTTTCTTTTGCCTGAGGAGATCATAGCTGATTTGCTTGTATCCCATTGGCGTGGAGCAACGTTTGATGTAGGAATTGCGCTTCTCGACTATGAACCTGGTAACGAGCACTAGCGCCTGTTTGGCATTGTCAACAAAGTATGCTTCTTTAAAATCCCAGTCCCATAGTAATTTCAGCTTCCATAAATTAAACTTGGTGCCCATCATTTTCCAGGGACTGTATAGATATACCATCAGAGGTAACGACATTTGTCGATCTTTTACCGCATCCTTAGAACGTTCTACATTCAAATGAAAATTCCATTTGCCCCTATTACGGTCTGTGTTCCTAGACGAGCCGGGAACCTTACGACGCCCTTGGCGAGATTTTATTCCTAGTATGCCCAGTTTCGACAGCGAATTGGCCCTTCTAGCCAATATTCCATGCAGTTGAAAGGTTTTGTGAGCCAGTGTCAGTCGGGCACAGCCAAATTTCAGTGGGGGCTTAACCGACATGTTTCCATAATTTAATTTTTAGTCAAAATTTTTAAATACTAATATGTCCGAAATGTTTAGTTCAAATCTGTTATTCTGACTGAGAAATCTTTTCTGAAAGCCATTGACATATTCGAATAATGGTTGTACGCTAACTCATTTTTTTCCTGTCCTTTAATAGGACTTAAGCAATAGTTTCATTGTACATTTATATATCTGCATTTGTTATTATACTTATTATTGGATACCTTACAAATAACCAAACTTAATCACTGCAAATGCATAATCACGTTTTCAAGCCTTTTCGTATTGTGTGCTTTGTTGAATTGGCTTTTGTTAGAGTACACGCATGCATTCATACGATTTAACAACAATGAGCTCTAATTGTGGCAACATGAATATAATCGATTCACCTGCTCTGTGGCCCGGCTGATTGATGCTGCCTCGTGGGAGATCCCGAAGGACTTTTGTGAGCATTGATTCGTATGCAGCCTGGCAACGTGCAATTATCGAATGCATTAGCAAATGGAAAACATTTGTTACGCCCATTGGCCCACCGCCCCATTTAAGTTGCGCCTGTTTTCATAGTTGCATTTCATGTGATACATAAACACAGCCCATCCTCCTTCACAGCTCCTCCTGTTTGTATGGTGTGTGGGTGTGTGTGTGCGTGTGTGCTCACTTGAGCTGTGCTAACTGAATACAAACAATGCCAAACGAGAGACAGGCAGACACGCCCACTTGCCACCGCCCGAAGACATGTTTACAAACTTATTTCATTTGGGTTAATTGCTTCGCAATTGCCCTCAAATTTGCATTCGAGCTAAGTAATTTTGTCCTAATGTCGATTTCAATTATTGCACAACTTTCTATGGAATGTCCTCAGAAGATATACGATTATATAAACACAAGGATGCACATGAATTGTACATGTGTCTTTGGATGATGTAGCTCCCAACAAAGTTAATAAAGCGGAATAACGGATACACAATAGAAGTCAAATTGCTATGGGGAAACATAAAACATTTGTCAATATGCATACCATGTTTTCTTGTCGCTGCACTGAAAATTTCAAGAAAACGTACTTTTAAGTGTCGCCCTCCTATGCGATTCTCAAGTATTCATGTAGGGCCTACAAATGTTCATGCCCTTACTATAAATTTTGAATTTACAAATTAAACATATATTTATATGTATTTAATTAAAAATTGTTGGATTAGAAAATATATTCACTATTTCGTAATATACTTAAGAAACTTGAACCTGCATTGTGGGTTTTCGTCAGTGTAGTTTTCTGTTGATAGCGATTTACTGGCCATAAATGTTTACTGTCATGTTTAAATCTAATAAAATTTATCACATAAATTGCGAACAATAAAACTATGCCCAAATATACTTAGAGAAACATACACATACATAAATGCATAAGGAGAAGGCATCCAATGCAGCTCATGCTCCAAAAAATAAAAATATTTTGCTGAAATCACAGCGCCATACAAATCCCCATGTAATCTCCCTCAGTGAGAGACAGCCATCATAGAGCAGCCAAAAGTATCGCAATAAAATATGTTAAGTAAATACGGAAAAGCAGATGGGGATAAAGAGGGCGAAGGAGACAGACGGACGCCAGACAGGCAGTTAGAGAGAGAGTAAACAATAAGCCAAAAAGTACGCTTGATTAAGTTTAACTTCCGGTTTTGGTATAAATTGAGCATTTATGTGGGATTTGTTTGCGAAAACAGTTTCTACTTTGTTGGGCAAAATAAATGTTTGCCAGTAGGCGCCGGCGCTGGCGCATCGAGCAGCTGCCAAAATCGAGGCATATGTTCCTAACCGGCTCACTACTATGCTCTGCGAGCACACGCTTGCATGTCTATTTCCGGCGGAAGTGGTGAATAAAACATGAAACAAAATAAAATCAGAAGGCAACAACAGAGGCTGCCAGCTGCCGACTTACTAAAATAGTCGAGCTGGAGTATTTGGAAGGCGCAAAATTATTCAGTGGCCAAAAATGAACTTCCGTTTGGATTGTTGGTCGTTAGATTAGTTGCTCTGCAGCATCAAATATCAAAATTAATCCAAGAGTTCAATAGAAGTAGACAACAAATTAAATTGCAAAATATCTTTAGCCTGCATATTTGGAATACATACATTCTTTGCATCCTCTCGGGGCTGCTCTGACAGCTGCCAACTGGGCATGGCCATGATGCAAGGCATTTAATATCCGTAAATGAAATATTCAATTTCCCTATGACAAAACTAGGAAATAGGCAACGGACAACAGGCGTACCTGGTGCCTGCCACAAGATATGAAAACTAGATACAGTTAACAGCATTTTAGGGCCGCAAACAGAAACAACCATTGCTTATCATTTGACAACGGCCACTTAACAGCAGCCTACCTCTTAGTATAGTCAAGAAATAGCCCTCTTTTCCAATGCTTTTGCGGAGATTGCAACTATGGATATTGGTTTTGTTCTCAATGGCGAAAAAAATCCAGAAAGAAAATATTTATCAGTGGTGTGCCAAAGTATGAGTTACACTTAAAATAAAATAAAATACAGTTCAAGGCAATGATTCAGAAAAACTAAGAGTAGTCTGTAAATTTCATGCTCGTCGGCCTAATCAAGAACACATATGTATTCATGATTTTCATATATCTCCATTAAGCGACAGAAGGCAATTATTTCTGCTACCTCTCGGCGTGCTCCCACACAAACTATTTCAATTCGAATACAACGTTTCATGGGATAATAAATTTTCTTGGCGTAAACAAATAAAAAGCTTACTTGGCACAACATTGCAAAATCCATGTAATCTTTATTGCCTGGCCAAAAGCAAAAGAGCAAATCACTAGGATTTGGTCGAAACCGGGCACTGTTAAACTTTGGGGGCCCGACATTACTTTTAAATGCTGCTGGAATTGCATTTAATTTGGAAAGTGCATCGAAGTTTATGGCTATGCTAATCGCTAGTGAATATTAACTATCTGGTTGCCCGCAAATTATCTCAAATAGATTTCCTTTGCTAGCATTTCAACAATTAATCCTGAATAGAATAAGGCTCTCAGCCACACAATTGGCAATTGTTGTTGGGCATTATATTTATTAGTTTTTGTGTGCTTAGGCTGCTATTCAAATACGGACTATAGTTAATGCTTGGGATTCAGAGAAGTTTTCAATGATTTCGAGAGTGGCAGCAGTTCGAAGAGGCACCACAGTTGCGAGAACAACAGGCTCCATTGCATTTCGGTCTTGCTGGATATGTCATGCAGTTATTGCAAGCATGCATACAGCACATTTGATAGTAACAGGGGCATCGACAGCCACAGGAATTCGAGCACGGCGATCCCCTACAGCAATTGTTACATTTTTTGGGGATTGGTTTTATTACTTTAGGTTTTTCTTTTGGTTTCTCTTCTGGTTCCTCTTCTGGTTCCTCTTCTGGTTCCTCTTCTGGTTCCTCTTCTGGTTCCTCTTCTGGTCCCTCTTCTGGCTCCTCTTTATAGATAGGTGGTTCGTTGATCTCAGTATTCGATTCAGATTCAACTTTATACACCGTTTGCAATACATTCCCCGCCTCATCGTTGGTAACCTCTTTAGTTTCTGTATAAACACGCATTTTTATTACTGCTGGGGCAGGTTCAGCTGTGTCATTCAATTGATTTGATTGTTGAGTTTCAGCAAAGGGTTGTTCCTGTTCCGCCATATCTTTAGAGTTTCTTTGGCTGTTGCTTTTTGAAGTTCTTTGTTGGTCTTCTACGTTAATGCTTGCAGTCCCAGCAGCAAGGTCATTGGGAATATCGGTAGGCTCGCTTTTTCGAGGTGAATTTACTGAAGTTCTCTTGCTCTCTTTGTATATTTTTGAATTCTCATCAGAAACAACCTGGGATTCGATTTTCGGAGGTGATTTTGTTACTGTATTTTTGGCTTTCTCGATTAAGTAATCGGTTCTAGACTCGGTATTTTCAGCTATATTAGATGTAGTCCCCTTTTTAGATACAGAAGTTCTTGGACTGTCACTTTGAGATTGACTTAGCTCGGCTTTTGTTTGTGAATTATTTGAAACTCTCCTGCTCTCCGTACTGGCTCTTGGATTCTCATTGGAAACAACATTGGTCTGTTGTGAATTTTTTGAAGCTCTCCTGCTCTCGGTACTGGCTCTTGGATTCTCATTGGAAACAACATTGGTCTGTTGTGAATTTTTTGAAGCTCTCCTGCTCTCGGTACTGGCTCTTGGATTCTCATTGGAAACAACATTGGTCTGTTGTGAATTTTTTGAAGCTCTTCTGCTCTCCGTACTGGCTCTCGCATTCTCATCGGAAGCAACATGTGACTCGACTTTTGGAGGGGATCTTTCTGACGACCGCCTTTTTGTTCCCTCGGTTAACGAAGTGTAACTTGATTTCATATTTGCAGCTGTATTTTCTGCAGTCCCCCTCCTAGATTGTTCAGTTACTGGATCGTTATTGGAAGTCCGACCGGACGCCATAGGTGTAGGTGTACTTTCTGATGACCTCTTCCTCGACTGATTGCTAGCTGAAATGTCAGTGTCATCTAGAGGTGAATATCCTGAAGTTTTTCTTTCTTTTCGATAAATAGTCAAAGGATCATTGTTACCTTTAGCGGGTTCTAGATGTAGAGCCTTCCTCACTAATTGTTTGATAGTTATGTTTTTACTGGAATTGATTTGGGCGGTGTCTCTTGCCGAATTTCTACTCTTTGCAGTGCCGATAGTTGAACGATCATTGCAAGCTAGGCCGGCTCTGACATTTGTTGATATTCTTCGGTGAGCCCTTTTTTGTTGATCACTTGTGAAACATTCATACGATGGCGGTATCAATGGAGTGATTGTTTCGAGTACTTCTACTTGACTGGACTGTATGCTCTTACGTTTAGTTGGAGGCCTTCGACAACATTTATACTTCGGCATTATATTAGCTTTTACTGAAAACTTATTTTGAGCCACAATGATAGAACTCTCAATTTTTCCCCCTCCACTTCTGGGTATATTTTTATTGAGATTTCTAAGTATTATAGATCTGACACTATCTATAGATTTCCCGGGTCTTATGCTAGAGCCGAGTTTTCGTCTTTCAACTCGTTTTTGAACAACTGGACCTGACAGCGAAACTTTTGGTTTTCTTTCCGTATCTCCATATGTTGTTAGCGTAGCATTTCGATTTCTTCTAGTAACTTCCCTTCCAGGCTCTCTAAATGTGGTTTCAGATTCTGTTTTCTTTAGTTGGCTATCAGCAGTAGTTTCTTTAGTATATTTTGCCCTTACTTGCGCGTTCTCTGATGAAGCATAATTCTGGTTTGCCGACTCCGTTTTGCCTGCCGAATTGTTGAAGCTCGGATTTGGTTCATAAAGAGTTACCAGTTCTTTACTTATTTCTTTACCAGTACCATCAAATTTGGTAATTGACTCAGTTTTGTGCAAGTCTTTACTTTTATTATTTTTAGAGCTTATAAATCTGGTAAGCGATTCTGTTTTTGTAACTAACACTTCTTTCTCACCAGTTTCCTTGGTGACCTCGTATTCAACCACCTCGATCTTTTGAATATTATGTACTAGGTCGTCTGGAAATTGTGTCGTCTTATCTTTGAATATTATATCGCTGGTCTGACTGCTATTTCCTCGCATCATTGGCCATTTTCTTTTTCTTTTTACACAGGGGCTGGTCACTCTTATGCATTTATTTTGCACGTCATCAGTATTGATAAATGGATTGGATCCAGTCAATTTCTTAACCCGTGCATTCGTATTATAACTCAAGGGGTTACATACTTTAGTAAACCCCCCACCGCGTTTGCAGAGTCCGCACTTTCGAACCTCTAATGTTCCCCTTGGTTGCGACATTTTGATGTTACACTGGACACATGAAACAACAATTTCGGTGGCTCAAACAAACATTTTTCACTACAATTCACACATAAAATTTGGTACCCAACAAACATATCAATTTTGTAAACCTATCAGAAATACATTTTATTGAATGAAATGTAAATCTAAGAAAACACAAACAAGTAAGAGTGCTCTAGTCAGGAGTAACCGACTAGGAGGCACCCTAAAAGCAGCGACGATCTGCCATTACAAACATTCTCGCTTCCTTACATATACATACATATACAAAAAAGGGATTTTGATATCGATGATTTAAAACATTTGCGCGGGCTATATTCATGTAACTAGCTTTTATTTTACACTGAGAGCAATGCACAACATGCTTTATTTGATCCAAGATGCCTTATTCTGCCTGTCCCATAAATTATATTTTTTTTGCTCAGTTTCAATGGGCTCAGAGAATAATAAGGATATATTCAAAAGAAGCATTTGCTTTTGTTTTCAGTTCATCAGTTTAGATCAGTTCGGTTTAGTTATTGTAATATTGTAAATGATTTGTTGGAAGAGAAATTGTTGAAAATTGTGCGTTTGCCAAATTATATGTATAAGTTTTGTACGAAATGGGACTGCGTGATTTTCAAAAGAAATTAGATCAATTTCAAAATGCAGTCGATGTACCCAAATGGTATTTGGGTTTATCGGACTACCAGGAGGATACCATCAAGGAGTTGTGCAACGATCTGCGTGATGACTTCGAGCAGGGCACAAGTTTTCGCGTGGAAAAGAGTTTAACGCGCCTGGGCCTCAGCCCACTGATTAGCAAGAAGAAGATTCGAACTATGGTACAGCTGAGTCGCGGTAACGATTTGGCTTTCATTTTCTTTATACTCGAGGGCTACTATATAAGCTGTCGCAAGAATGGCGAATACACGACCAACGAAAAGTTGCTGATGATAGCAATGGCAAAAATAGATTTATTGCCAACACTGCAGGAATTAGATCGTATACTGCCACCACCACAGCTAAGTGAATTGGATCTGAAGCGTCAGCAGCGCAGCTATGGTCAACAACAGCGGAATTCAAAATCCCCGCAAGAGCAGCAGTTGACGAAGAAAAAACCCAAAATATCGACACAATTTCCATACTTTCAACGTCAGCCCAGGCCCAAGGAAATTGTGGTTAAATACACGAGTAAACCACCCAATGTGATATCTACCTTTCCATTCTGGCCATTGGATCAGCCTCCAAATTATGGAGTTAAAAGCGACCCACCATGGTTCGCCGAATACAATTTAAATCCAGTTGGTCGCCTGGTCAAAAGTACTGTATCTGAAGCGGTGGACAAATACTTCCATCATCTAAATCATATTAAATATCTAGAATCCCGAGCTAGGTTTAGCCGTAGAGCGGCCGCCGCATTAGAGAAAGCTATGGATGACGAGGACACTGAGCCACTTATGTGCGCCTATCATAAATTCGCAATTGGAGAAGCGCAGCTGATCAAAGACGAGCTGGTTGTGATGGCACGCGATCGTTGCATAGAATTAATGGATGTGACGCTGCCCTATCGTAAGCTGCGACAAAAGCGTATTGTAGCTCAGCTGCAGCGTGATATTGACGATTGCATTAAACGATATTCCATGAAAATGGAAAGCACAACGGTGCACACGATATCCAAGTCCGATTGCGTACTGTGCCAGGAGCAGCGCGTTGATTTGCCCGTGGCCAAGCCCCAGGAGAGAAAAGGTCGAGCTTTAGTCGGAGACAGCCTACATCTAGCTCATACTCAAGCGACTGACACCTGTATTGGTGCTCGTCTCTGTGGCGGTGGTCTGCGTCGTCAGCCAATCGACTTTGAGGTAGAGCTGCCACCGTGTCGAAGCTCGAACGCAGGCACATCTATGCTGTCTGACGCGTCGTCATGTGTGACACCAAAAGGTAAGAGCCAGCAACGCATATCCTTTCTGCTGGATGACAGCAAATTGAAGAAACTTCGAAAGAATCGGAAAGACCAAACTGTGGAAGTGCGCTATCAGGGCAAACAGACAAAGAAGACGTTCTTTACGGCGCCCAGCGATCACAAGCCATATCAATTTAAGTACAAACGCATCTTTAAGTCCGGTCAAGAGAAGCCACGTGATGTCAAGAAGGTGATTGCCAAGGCGTTTGTGAGTGCACTAGATAGAGGCGATGGAACACCTATTCCTTTGTGCGAAAAACCAGCCGAAAACACATCCGAAGACGATGTGGAAAAGCTGGAAATGGAAGTCAGCGGCATTCGTTTAACAGACAGCTGTGCATCCACGGATGATACCAGCGAGCACAGCAAACGCAGCTATGAGGATCGCCGGGCGGACATCGTAGACGCTGTGGTGCGTTGTGCTAAGGAAATCTGGATGAAGGGTGTCAATGCAAAACGAGCCGAGATGGAAATACAGGCAACCGAAGCCAAGAAAAAAGAGAATCCACTGCAATCATCATTACTAACATATGATATTGAAAAATTTGATCCGGATAATGCACAGCTCATGAATCGCATGCTACAGGATGGCCTCGCACAGTTGCGCAAAAATCAACGATTCGTGCTTGCCTCCCTGCCCAACGCTTACAAGCTGCCCGTGCTCCAGGCATGGATAAGGCGTCGCTATGGCAAACAATATACCGAAGAAGAAGCGCAAAAGAGTATTCAACAATCGATCAAAGTATTTGAAACGATCACCTTGCTACAAGGTATGCCGCCACCGGCTGACTTGATGGGCATGGATCACTTGCCGCAAAGCAAAGAGAATTTTGCCTACTGCAATCAGGCCAAGGCCCTGGTAAGTATTGCCAGTCGAAAGACTGCTTAAGGCAACAATTAGCTCACATCCTTATTCGCCTGCAGGCCGCAAAGGTGCGACAGGAGTACTATAAAAAACTGAACGATATTTATATGAATCACACAATCGCCTGCTGGTATGCCATGGGCAATTATATGTGTCGCGCCGGACCACCGAGAAAAACATTCTACGCCTATATGTCGGCCAATACCCGGGACATTATGCGCAATAAGGTGTGGAACGGCGAATACAGAGATATACGACAATTTCGCGATAATTACAAAGAAGCCCATAAGAAATAGTTATGCAAATGATGGCTGCCGTTTTTCTACAATTTTTTGTTTCTTTTAGTCTTGATTCAAGTTATGAGTGACCAAAAGAAAAACATATTACCTCGCGAATATACGACAATTTGCTTTAATGAAATGCATTTATAGTATAAATATTATTGGTAGCTCTTCTTTAAACGAGACACCCGCTTGCCAGTTATGCCCTTGCTGGCCATATACGCTAAAATGGCGCGCTTTGTGAGCGTTTTAAGGTTGCGGACATCGAACTCTAGCTCCTTGTTGGCATACCCAAAATTAATACCTTCCATTTGGGTTATCATGTGTATAACGTTTAGAAGCATGACGCCATCCAATTGCTGTACCCTTATGTGCAGCTCCAAATCCTCTTCTGTGGTCATTGGTAACTCGTGATCCTCCTTCTTCCATTCCTTGTACGCCAAGTCTTCGTTGCGAGCTTGTGTGTTATCGGGCACAACTGTAACGCTGCCCTCCTTGGATTGACTTGGTGAACTGCTGCATCCATAAACTTCCTTGATATCCAAATCTGAGGAGGAAGAATCTGACCAATTGCAGCTCTCGTTGGAGTTATCGTGCAGCGGCACCTTCGCGTACATATCCTCAAATACCAATTGCAAATTCTTTGCCATTTCATAACAAAGATGCCCCGGTCCTGTATATATATACGTATTATAAAATATTAGGCGCACATCTCGTGCAAAATCAATGGCATTTAAATAAAAATTCGAATTGAGACGATATTTGATTGTCGACAGATCCATGGGTTCCTTCACAATGAGATGATAATCATAAAGACCCAGTAAATCGGCGTCTAACGGTTCGTAAAAGACCCAGGCCAAACTTTTGTACTTCTTGGAGAAAAGATTTCTTATGATTGCCTTACAGGCGCTAATCTCCGGCGTTGGCTTACCTCGTTTAGTTGATGACATCATGCTGCATGAGGTATAAATTAAAGCTCCGAGAGTTTCGGTTGTTTGTTTTTCATAAATACCTTTTCAAATTCAGTAATCTAATTGCTATTAGTTGAAAGCAATGAATATATATTTTTTGACAATTGGAGTATTCGAAATGAAACTCGCACAGAGTTGATTTGCGTGCGTGATCTAGTTCAGTTCAGCGAACTTGTAAAATAAATGAACAATTTAAAAGCTGCGCTTCGTGTTTTAATTCAAGTCGCAAATACATGTTTGTTTGTATATAAGTGTATGTATAAAATGTCAATTATCCACATATATTCGCTTATATGGCCGGTGGCACAGTGAAGATATTGAATCTGCATATTTTGTAGACAGATACTAGCCAACGATTTGTATGGTTCGCCAATTCTACACCAGAAATTTGCTCGGCATTGGAATAGTTACGCCTGAAACGCATAAAAAGCTCTATGAAAACATACGGCAACTGTGAACTGGGATCCTCTAGCTGCAACTTAAGATCCGGCTCCATTTCGATCAGTGCACTTTTCATCTTCTCAAAATCCGAACTTGTTTCGCAGTCGGCCACATGACGCAGTCCCACCAAGACCACATCAATGACTGCATACCTCAAGCCCAATATAGTATGAAGATGCACATTAATGGGCACCGCTTGTCGTATATCCTGTTTGCGAAAACGCAACAGTTCCGCGAAAGACTTGTGTGGAAAGTTTATCGACTCGTTGGCCATTTGGTAATACACATTTGATGTGGAGAAGTGATCAATCTTTTCCGTGTCGCGTAAACGTAGAATATCTGTTAACGCAACGGCTGCCTTTTTCGTCTCATCCACGAAGTCCTTCTCTTTAAAATTGGGATCCCATGTCCATCTCAGCTTCCACATACGCAATTTACTCATGTAGTACTTCAGCGGATTGTACTTGAAGACGAGCTGTGGCACAAGCACATTGTTCATCACCTTCACTTTGGTCGCCTTCGGCTTGGGGGGCAATATGAAATGTCGCTGTTGCTGGTAAATATGAAGCTGTTCCGGTGTAGCGGCAACGTTCCACCCCACTCCAGACCATTTACGTAACAATTTCGTGCACATTTTGTCCGTAATTTTGACTTTCAATTTGTGTCTAATAACCGAATTTTATAATGTCAAAGTAAAAGCCAGACCTACTATGTTAAATGGATAAAAGAGTAGAGCACATCTGTCATTAATTTTAAATGAGAAATTAACCCAGTCTTAACATAATTATTTACGCTGTATTAACAAAATATAAAAAGAAAACTAAAATTTGTTGTACATACACATTCACAATGCCCCGCCGTCTACTCTTCCTGCTTGCGAGTCAGTCCGTTCTTTTCAGGCTCGTAGAACTCATTTACAATGGCTTCAACCATTCGTTTGAGTGTTGCTGTCAGATCATCCCAATTCTTATTCTCCGGTTGGCCACACATTTCAGCGTAGTACTTTATCTTGGGCTCAGTTCCGCTAGTACGCAATGTGACCACCATACCATTTTTAAAAGTAAACGTAATCATCTGGGTGCTTTCACTAACCGGTAGCGTAGCCTTTTTATCAGGTGTGCTGCTATCATATCCCGTGGTCAGGTCACGTACATTCTCAATCTCATATTCGCCGTTTAAGATGCTCTTCGGATAGGTATTCTTTTGACCATTGTCAAAGCTGCGCAGGCGATCAAAAATCTTCTTAATAAGCTTTTGATCCTGACAAATTAGATAGGAGACTACATTTGTGTGAAATCCGTAAGTCTCGTATATTTCACGTAATTTGTCCTGCAATTTCATACACTTTTCGTACTGCAAATAGCAGGCCATTGTGGCCACGTGCGCAGCAGCAGTGATACCATCTTTATCGATCACATTTGGCGTCATCATATAGCCAATGGCCTCCTCGAACCCAAAGAGCACATTTTTGCCCGCATCACGCTCCTCGATTGTCTTGTTACCGATCCATTTGAAGCCTGTCAGCGTTTCATGGAAGGTAAATCCCTCGACTTTTGCCATCGATTTCAATATCTTTGAGCTCACTGTGCTGGCAATCATAACACAATTGGATACATCTGGATTTGCTTCGCGCATCTTATAGTTCTCCAATGCCCACCAGCCTAGGAGGGCGCCCAGCTCGTTGCCGTTAAATAGTTTATATCTGCTCTTGACCACCTCAGCAACAGCCAGACGATCGGCATCCGGATCGTTGGCCAAGATTATAGCACTTTTTGTAGCAGTTGCTCTTTTTATGGCCAAATCCATTGATGTTTTGCCCTCTTCTGGGTTGGGGATAGGTGTAGTTGGAAACTCTGGATCGGGGTCAACCTGATTAATCACAGGTATCACTGGCTTCAAATCAATCGTGCTAAAAGCCAACTGTATGTACGGATAGCCAACCCCATGCATGGCCGTATAGGTAAATTCTAAAGGGCATTTTTTATTGAGCTCCCGAAGCGGGCACGTTAGCTCCATCTTTAAACAGTCGTAATAAGCGGCAACCATCTTTTTGTACGGTTTCCTCAACAGTTCGTTGTCACACAGTACACTCTCATCCCAAGAATCTGCTTCGGGTTCCAAATTATCCAGAATGGACTGACTAATTCCCGTATCGTGTGGTGGTATGATTTGTGCACCGTTTGTCCAATAAACCTGTTAACAAATATTATAATATTGGAAGATATCTTACAGGACATAAAATGACATGACATACCTTATAGCCATTATCCTGTTTGGGATTGTGCGACGCTGTTACCATTACCCCGGCCAGACAACCTAGTCTTAAAATTGTAAATGGAACGAAGGGCGTGGCAACATAACGGTTAAAAAGATACACACGGAAATTATTGTTCAAAAACACAACCGAAGACAACTTCGCAAAACGTTCACTGTTGTGACGCGCATCATACCCAATAACAATGCCTTGCTCGGACCAGGTACTCTCATCCGGATACTGTTTCTTCAAATAAGCGCAGAGTCCTTGGGCGGTTCTTAAAAGTGCAGGCATTAGTTAAACATATATAGTTTGTATATTCCTATGAATTCTTAGAAAACTTACTGTATAACAACCAGATCGTTCATGGCATCGAAACCAGCTCGCATTGCGGCACGTAAGCCCGCTGTGCCGAACGCAATACGATTGCAGAGGCAAGCTTGAAGACTAATTGTATACCGGATAGTTAAACAAGGAATTAAAGTTGTAAGTCCATAACATACGTTTTCCAGTCTTCTTTCTTAATAGCATTAATGATTTGAGCTTTGGTATGCGGATTCCGATCCCAATCGATCCAATTTTTTATTTGTTTATCAAGCACTCGATCACCAGAATAACAATGAAAATTTGCCGTACCAGAACTTCCTTTACCAATACGCTGAAGTTGTTGGTTCCGACACTGAAGCATCCAATATCGCACGGATATGTTGCCCAGCTGGCCTATATTAGAGAGCTTTCTTTGCTGATGGTACAGCTCGCGTTTATTGGGACTAACAGGGACATTTATCAACAGTCCCGACCAATTGGCAGATACATTTGACAAAGTTCTCTTGGCAAATGTGTGAATTAGTAGTACCATCTTGACAAGATAAAAGTAAATTATTTTTATTAAAGATTCTTACAAAAACTATAAAAATTTTGATGGCTTCTACTGTCCAAAATCTTTCCAAACCCTATCCTTACTGTGTAAAATGTTGATCAACACTAACACGAATAACCAACTGTCAAACATTTTTGACTTTCTAACCAACTTAAAAGCATGAATAAATTTGTAATGCAGCAAAATATTTCATCCTACTTTAAAAACTTGATCCGGTTCTTAGTAGATGTCTGAATTTTATCTCTCCAATAACTTTAGTGAGTGATATATCCAACCTTCCTATTCACCATTACAAAAAACCAGTAGATGTTTACTTTCTTACAACCCCAAGAAAATCTTTATTGAATTTAATTTTTTTTGGTGTTTCTAATAATCAAAAATATCTGTTGCCATCAGCAGCGTTGGTAATCCGAAATCCGATTGTACTCGTTAATTTAGCAGAAAACTGAAAATTTGGGGCATCTACATATACGAAACCCATCTATACTCCGCTTGCAAATCTAGTCTTCCTGTCTACGCTCCAGTCCGTTCTTTTCGGGCTCGTAAAACTCATTAACAATGGCATCGACCATGCGATTAAGAGTCTCTGATAACTCTTCCCAGCGCTTGTTTTCTGGTCTGCCGCACATCTCGGCATAATACTTCAGTTTTGGCTCAGTACCACTAGTACGTAATGTGACCACCATACCATTTTTAAAAGTAAACGTAATCATCTGGGTGCTTTCGCAAACTGGTAACGTGGCCTTTTTATCTGGGGTGCTGCTATCATAGCCCGTGGTCAGGTCACGTACATTCTCAATCTCATATTCACCGTCCATTATGCTTGTTGGATAGGTGTTCTCTTGGCCGTCGTCAAAGGTTCGCAGGCGATCAAAGATCTTCTTAATAAGCCCTCTATCACGACAAGTGACATAAGAGACGACACTGGTATGGAACCCGTAGTTCTCGTATAAGTCCCGCAGCTTCTCCTGCATTGTCATACACTTCTTGCAGCGCAAATAGCAGGCCATTGTAGCCACGTGAGCTGCAGCACTAATACCATCTTTGTCAATAACATTTGTGGAAACCATATAGCCAATTGCCTCCTCGAACGCGAAGAGCACCTTTTTGCCCGCATCGCGCTCCTCGATCACCTTGTTACCGATCCATTTGAAGCCTGGCAGCGTTTCATGGTAGGTGAATCCCTCGACATCAGCCATAGATTTCAATATCTTAGAGCTGACAGTGCTGGATACCATCACAGAATTGGATACATCTGCGTTTTCGTCCTTCAGTTTATAATTCTGTAATGCCCACCAGCCTAAAAGGGCGCCCAGTTCGTTGCCACTGAATATCTTGTATTGCTTACTGTCGTCAAGTTCAGCAACAGCCAAACGATCGGCATCCGGATCGTTGGCCAAGATAATGGGACATTTTTTGGCAGTTGCCCGTTTTATGGCCAAATCCAATGATGTTTTGCCCTCTTCTGGATTGGGTATGGGCGTCGTTGAGAATTCTGGATCTGGCATTATCTGCTCACACACGGGAACAACGGACTTAAGGTTAATTTTGCCAAATGCCAACTTTATGTATGGATAACCAACGCCATGCATGGCCGTATATGTAAAAGTTAATGGACATCTGCCATTGGCCTCCATTAGTGGGCAAGAAATCTCCTTTTTAAGCGCATCGTAATAAGCTGTAACAACATTATTGTAGGGATCGCTCAACAAGTCGTTGGCGCACAGCAGAGTCTCATCCCAAGAATCGGGATGTGGTTGCAAATTATCCAAAATTGCCTTACTAATAGCTTCATCATGCGGTGGTATGACTTGTGCGCCATTAGACCAATAAACCTGTAGGCATTATTGTAAAAATATTGTATATAGTCATTTGCGAGCCATACCTTATAGCCATTATCCTGTTTAGGATTGTGAGACGCTGTGACCATCACACCGCCTAGGCAGCTTAGTCTTTGTACGGTGTAGGGCACGAAGGGCGTGGGAACAATACGCCTAAAAAGATATACACGAAAATTTTGACTTAAGAACACAATTGCAGTTAATTCCGCAAAGCGTTGACTATTGTAACGACCATCATAGCCAACTACCACGCCCTGTTCGGCCCACGATGCCTCATCCGGATATTGTTCCTTTATGTACGCACATACCCCCTGAGCAGTCCTGTAACGCATGGTTGATATATAATATTTTATATTTTTCCCATGCTTTATGAGCTGAAGGATATTCTTACTGTATAACGACCAATTCGTTCATAGAATCAAATCCAGCACGCATTACGGCACGTAATCCCTCTGTGCCAAAAGATATACGTCTGCAGAGACGGCATCGAAGGCTGTGTTTGTAAATTGGTTGATTGCAATATGGAAGGTTATATAAGAATGTAAGTTATTATTTACGTATCCCAATCTTCATTCCTGACCGCCTCCATTATTTGCGCCAACGTGTCTTGGTTACGATCCCATTTGACCCATTTTTTAATTTGGGCGTCTAACTCTTTGTCGCCGGAGAGCGGCATATGCTTCAGCTCGCATATCGCTTGGCCCATGGATTGACACATTGTGTACTGCCGAAGAATTTAGAAAAAAGTTTGGGAGCAAATTCTTAAAAGCTAGTGAATAGCACAGAAAAACTTTTGACAATAATTTCATCACATTATCAAATAACACGATGACAAGTAGAATCGAAAAATGGGAACTTTCATGTACAAAATTTTTAACAAAGTGGTCGCTGACAAATTAGTCGCCTAAATTTCAGAGGTTACTAATTTACAATGCTAAAAATGATTGCGTGTAAAAACTACATTTTAAACCAAATATGTTAATATGAATATTTGTTTATTTGTAAATTAATTATAATTTCTAGAAGTTCTAAAATCTGAATTAGGATTACAAAACACATGATACTTACGGATTTTATGGAAAATAGTATTTCTTAAAGCTCTTGAAATAATAATTTTTCGAGAACTAAATAGCAAACTCACACGAGTTCATATAATTAGCGAACTCAGACCCCATTATAATTGCGCAAAAGCAACATAAGGACATGAGAGCAAGGACATGCCGCCACGGGGATATTATACATTTGCTCTAAACAATAGTGTTGCTCATCTACTCACATATGTTTGTATTTAGCAAACATATTTTCCATATAGTTAATTATTCGAATGGGTAGGCAAGAAAACAAAAATATTTCCATAATGAACAAGCATAAAACCGCACTAATTGTGACTCATAATTAGAGACATGTTAATTGCCAAGCATCACAAGCGTAAAAAATAATATAAACGAGGAAAAAAAAAAACAAATAAAAAACAAGTAAGAGGTTCTAGTCGGGAGCCCCGATTAGGGTATACCCTGAACCCTCTCCTCCCAAAATCAAATGCATATATATATATTATATTTTAAAAGCTATATGTCAAGTTTGGTGACTCTAGCTCTTATTATTTACCAAAATTGCCCCAAAAAACAGGATATCGATATCGATTTTTATCGATTGCTTGGAAACGGAGCAAGTTATCGATTATCGGAAGCAAACTCGATCTGCGCGGGAACTAGGAGCATATACATCTAAAATTTCAGTCGACTCGGCTATTGGTGCTGATCAAGAATATATATACTTTATGGGGTCGGAGATGCTTCCTTCTGCCTGTTACATACATTTGGATTTTGCACAAATACAATATACCCTTATACCCATTTTTAATGGGTTCAGGGTATAATAAAGAAATAATAAAAATTTTGCCCAAGGACCTGAAACTGGACAGTTGTAAACCAAATTCGCGCAAGTTTAAGTTAAAACTTTGGTCACCAAGTTTACGTTGGTCAGCAAAGGACTTGCCCACAGATTGAATTAGTTAATCTAATTTAAGTATAATGTAAACAGGCCAGTTTCTTACAGGGGATAGTTTAATGCGACCAACCCAAATCGAAATAAGACAGCAAAAACCAGCCAAAAGGCACCCAACTTCTAATGTCAAAAAAAAAAACTAATGTCAACTGGTCTGACCGTGGGGTTTGAAGGGGGCAAACAAACAGAATCAAGCAAAACTAGCCTAACCATACAACTCACCCATTCAGCCACTCATCCACTCAGGAGTCATCCTGCCCAGCGGTTTGCATAAATTTTGTTGCGCAAATATTTCATTTGCATATTTTGGTTGTGTTGTGTTTTTTCTTTTTTATTTCTTATTTGGCTACGTTTCCTTTTGAACATCTCCCAAGCCCTTGTCTGTGTGTGTGTGTGTGAAAAGTCAAGGTTCAAATTTTCCAAGATGTCAACACACAAAAGCAATTGTCATATGCATCGATTTCAATATGTCTAAATGTTTTTATTTAATTAAAGCCACTTGGGCGCTCTAGTTAAAAAAAAACATAATGGCAGCTGCCTCAAGCACTGCAGGCACTGTCTTTGATTACTTTTAAGATTTGTCGGACCTTTTGAACCATTTGTATTCTTGCGAACAAAAATAGTATTATCAAAATAATAATAAAAAGATATATAAATGCTTACAAAATTAGTTTAGTTATAAAGTATTATAAATAAGAGACTCTTTTTAACTCGATCTCTGTCTCTGTTTGCGACCCTCCATGAAGTTTTCACTGTACATGTGTATGGTAATTAATTTCCCTGCAATATTTTAAGCCACAGTCAACAAGTATGTGTGCTGTTAAAATATCCCCCAAGTGCGCTGTTAACTTGACATCCACATGTTAACAGTGCTGAGCGGCGCTCTGCCTATTACACTCTCTCTTTTTCTCTATCTCTTTTGCTGTAAATTCAAGTGCCACAGCTCGCTCTGCTGTTACTCTAACTGTTACTATTGATGGTGCTGCTGCTGCTGTTAAACTGGGTGGCAGCCTCAGCGTTGGACACTGTTTTATTGGCAACAGTTTCTTAGCTTCAGTCCTCAGCGAGACTTTGAGCAAGTTGGCAGCAGGTTGGGAATTTAATGACAAACAGGAACAGTCGTTGCGATTGTTCACAAAAGTTAAAAGACGAGGCTTTAATTAGGCATAGTAGGGCATTCTGCGTTGCTCTTCGAGAGACCTTTGACACGCATTTAAATGCATCGTTAATTAATATTACGACGAGATATGCAAAGTACGCCTTTGACTTGCACTTTGACAATCAGTTGTAGACCTCTCCACTTCCTCCAGCGTCTTTCCACTTGTAACAATTTTTTTTTATTTTTTCTGCTGCATGCCTCGTTTCTTATTGGAAATTATGCATGCACTGGCAACTGGGAACCTAACCGACAATTAGGCCGCCTCGATGTGGTTAAGTGGACTGGGAATCAAAGAGCAGCAAAGCAAGTGTGCAGTCTTGAAGCTGGGCTCTCCCTCTGGCTGCATTCGCAACGACTTGGAATATTATTTTGTGTACGCCTCATCGATTTTGCTAGTGTTTCTTATTTTTATATTTTTTTTTACTCGTATCTGCATCTTTTAACATGATATTCCTTTTAATATTGCCGATTCATTGACAACTCCCCAGTTGCCACTGAGCCTGGGAGCTTGGAAATAAACCAGTTCTCTGTTGCTGCCAGCATTTCTTTGCTTTGCACAAGCTGCCTCTAAATGCTACAACTAATTTCTATAAATTGTATTTAATATAAAATTGATGTAAACCTTTTAATTCTCTCATCTTAATTAAATTGAATCCCTTGGTCTGCAAAGGCAGTTGCAAAAGAAATTTTACACCTCGCTACGGGTTGGTGACAAAAGGCTGAACAATCTATAAAGAGACTCAGAGTTAAATACGGTCCCTGCCAGCGAGCCACTCAGGACCATTGAAAGGTAAACAAAAACATGTGAGGTTCTGGCACAGCCAATATATTTGTAAGTGAAAAAAAAAACACACACACATCAGGCAATACTAAAGCACAAAAAGCGGCTGTATAAAAGCCGAACAAAAAGCAGCATCCGCCCGTGTGCTAGCTTGAGAAATATGCGATGCGGCACCAAAAGGGGGCCTGGGGGACAGCCAACAGACAGCGGTACAGGACAGACCAACAGACCGACAGACAGGCGGACAGACAGACAGTCACATGTCAAACATTCTTTTGACACTTTGTCATAGCATCTCGCAGTGACACTTGTCAGCAGTCGGATTTCACATTCGCAATTCGCTCGCTCGCATTTGGGAGTGTGGTGTCCTTCACTCTCCACTACTCACTTGATTTATAGCCTGTAAGCAAGTATATTCATACATCCGCAATTCACATTTACTTATGCATCTTTTTGCAAATTCAATTTTCCTAATGTTATTTGTTGCTGGCTGGATTCTGCTTCTAGTCTTGCAGATCTATGTGACAAGCAGAGATACCATCAACTTGTACTTTATAAAAGCTTAAAGATTTTTAAACATTTTTTTAACGGATGGGGCCTAGAAAAAAACAATTTCGAATTTATTTCAAAGAGTGCGGTTTAGCCAATTGATAGGCTTTGTTGTTATTGTATTTACTCCTCCATAACGTTAAACTTTTGTAATTAAGCTTTTACACAAGCAGATCTCACAGCTCACCAATACAAATACAGCGTTCCATTTAACTAACCCGAAAAATGGGCATAATGTACACTGGCATTATATTTTTGCATAGAATATACTGTAATCAGTAAAACGAGTATAACTTACCTATAATTGAACTACTCAAACCTACACCAGAGGTAAGTTGACTAAATAAACTTGAACGAAAGTTGCAACAATTTTTGGGGGGGCTAACGAATTTAGCGCATTAAGGCTGAGAGGCGGTTTTCTAGTTAACTAGCATGCTGACGGCCATTTATCAGGGCATCTAATCTAATCCTTTTACTGGTCAAATAAATTAAAATGAAAAGCCTTTTTCGGCTGCCGACGCCGCCGCAGCGGCCACTAAATTACGCCAAAGATAATTAACCTGTAGACTGTTTACGGCGGCATCGGCAACGGCGACTGCGACAGAGGCAGCGAGCATGTATCTATGTATATACATAGTAGTATCTGCGGCAAGGACTCTTTATTAGGCCTGCGACCCTTGGAGCGGAAGCGCAAATGGGCGCATTGAAGCTCTCTGTAAGAGAGACGAGCCGACGCTTTCGACTAGCGATGTGAAATTACAAAATGGCGCAAATTATAGGGCAGCAGGGGAAGGACTTTGGCACGAGGACGACGGCAGCGACGGCGTTCGCCATTTCCGTTCGAAGGCATTTTTCCAAATGAAGTTTGCAAGTAATCATGAAAAAGGTAATTTAATAAAAGCAAAATCGAGAAACATAAAACTAATTTACGGTTCCGAAATTGCCTGTGAAAAGCGAGCAAACGCCGCCGTAGGATGCCCAAACAAAAAATAAAAATAAAAACAAAGGTGCTGCAACAACAATTCGCCTGAACTTTGGCCACAAGAGCGCGCTATTTAAGCTAGCTTTTAAATAGTGGATAGTTAAAGCTTAAATATAAAAAGTATCGTGTCTTCCGTCACGGCTGCTCGATCACCAAGCTTCGTGCTGACTGCGCCGACCCTTACCCCACTATGCTACTCAATCGACCAGGTTAAATATAACACTAACATTTGCGAGCCACTCATAATTCGACGGCATTTTGATTTTAAAGAGCCTCTAAAAAGCGTAGTCCAGCTCGCAACAACGCCCAACCGGGC